GCAACAGAGTGACACCCTGACTCAAAAAGATACCAGGAAAGGAGGGGCAGGTCATACAGTTGGGGCCCTTTACGTAAGGGAAATGACCTACAGCTGGTCTTTCTCCAGTTGGGTCTGACCACAGCCCATAACAAGGTGTGCCACAGTATGGCCAGTGTCAGAATGAGTAGCCCAGGGCCACAGGACACTGGGGGAACAGCCAGTTAATATTCCTAAAGGCCTGGTGGGGGGTGGTGGCATTTTAATGAGGATGAAATGGGGGAGTGAAGCATCCAGGGAAGCAAGGGGTACCCACATACAGGGTGGATAGAGGTGAAATTAGAGGAGGTGGCTGGCGCCTCCCCAAATAACTCATTCTTCAGGATGTCTCTAACTAATCATTCCTAAATGTAGAACTGCCAGGAGTTTCCCTGGGAAATCGTGGTCTGATTTGATTACTGACAATTAGTGGCTTGACTCTTTCGGGGACAAAAAGGGAAAACATAAAAGAACAATAGCTGGGTGCGGTGCTGTGGTGCTGAGTGCCTGCAACCCCAGCTACTCAGGCGGCTGAGGTGGGAGGACGGCTTGAGGCCAGGAGTTCGAGTCCAGCCTGGGCAACATAGGGAGATCCTATCTCTTCAGAAAAAAATAAAGGAACAATAAGAGAAGGTACTAAGGAAAGGGAAGGGAACACAGAGGCTGTTGTTCCCAGCCTGGGTGCTAACTGCAGACGTGGAATGAGAACAGGTCTAACCAGCTGGGTAAGTGTCTGTTGGTGGAGAGAAGGTGCCCCAGGCAGGGACCAGGCCACTGCCATCTCTGGACCTTCCCACCCAGCACCCGCACAGACAGGTGCTCAGTTATCATTTGCCTGAAAGGCAGAAGTGGCTCCTCCAGGCTGGCCTTCCTAGAGGGCAAGTACAGGCAGTAGCATGAGGAATGCTTTGCTGGACCGATGTCTGACAGTGGCTGCTCTGGGTCATGTGGGCCCTGATTCCCCACCAGCGCTGCTCACATCTGAGCACCTGCTGAATGCGAGACCCTGCTCCAGGCAATGAGTTAAGTGATTAAATGTAGGTGCCACTAGGCAGGGACTTCCTGACTTGCTGCATGGTTAGGAAAGACTGCTCTGTAGGGCCAGGTGCAGTGGCTCACGCCTGTTATCCCAGCACTTTGGGAGGCCGAGGCAGACGGATCACAAGATCAGGAGATCGAGACCATCCTGGCTAACACAGCGAAATCCCGTCTCTACTAAAAATACAAAAAAGTGGGCAGGCGCGGTGGCTCAAGCCTGTAATCCCAGCACTTTGGGAGGCTGAGACGGGCGGATCACGAGGTCAGGAGATCAAGACCATCCTGGCTAACATGGTGAAACCCCGTCTCTACTAAAAAAATACAAAAAAATTAGCCGGGCGTGGTGGTGGGCGCCTGTGGTCCCAGCTACTCAGGAGGCTGAAGTAGGAGAATGGTGTAAACCGGGGAGGCGGAGCTTGCAGTAAGCTGAGATCCGGCCACTGCACTCCAGCCTGGGCGAGAGAGCGAGACTCTATCTCAAAAAAAAACAAAAAACAAAAAAAAACTGTAAAAGAGACACTTCGCACCCTGCAAACACAGTGGTAAAATAGACTGCATATTATATATACTGCATCAGTTGGACTCAAGGTGCTATGAGGTGAGACACAGTAGCTCACGCCTGTAATCCCAGCACTTTGGGAGGCCAAGGCAGGAGGACAGGAGGATCATTTGAGGTCAGGAGTTTGAGACCAGCCTGGGCTACATTGAGAGATCCAGTCTCTCCAAAAAAAAAAAAAAAAAAAAAGTAAAAATTAGCCGAGTGTGGTTAGTCTGCACCTGTGGTACCAGCTACTTGGGAGGCTGAGGTGGTAGGACCGCTTGAGCCTGGGATGTTGAGGCTGCAGTGAGTTATGATGGCACCGCTGCACTCCAGCCTGTTCAGCCTGGGCAACAGAGCAAGACCCTGTCTCACAAGGAAAAAAAAAAAAAAGATGCTTTGACATCAGGATTTCCAGGAGCACAGGGAACCTCTTCCGGGCAAAAGTCATTCTACCCTTGTAGCAACTGGGGTCCGAGGAGAGCCTTAAGTCAGGAGGGCTACAGAAACTGGTACTTCCAGCCAGAGGCACACATGCTGTGGTAACAGCATTACACTCGATTTCTCAGTCACTCTGCTGAGAAAACTGGAAGGACATGGCTTGTACCTCTACCAAGCTAGCCAGTCTCCTGATCCCGAGGTTGCCTGGGGTGTGAAGGACAAGGTTCAACTGACTGCGGAGACCAAGGTGTCCTTTGCAGAATGGGTCTGCTTTCTTTCAACCCCTCCTATGAACTGGGATATTTAGCCTGGCAAAGAGAAGAATAGAGAAACCTTCAAAACCCCTAGAATGTCTCATCCAGTGGAGACTGAATTTAACCTGCCTGGCCCCAGAGTGGTAGGTGGGATCCCAGGCAGGCACCCAGGAGCTGGCAGGAGGGTCACTGTAAAGACACCCTTCCCTGGTAAAACTGTGATGACACCAATCACACCTGCTGAAGCCAGGAGGGTCGCGGACGGCCAAGAAGGAAGTAGCAGAAGACTCAGAATGCCAGCTTAGCGCATAGCCTGAGACCCTATGATTCCTTCCTAGTGTTTCCCTCGGAGATGAGCCCTCTGCAGAGGGAAGATAAGATATATATATAAACAGTTGGCTGGGCACGGTAGCTCACGCCTGCAATCCCAGCACTTTGGGAGGCTGAGGTGGGCAGTTCACCTGAGGTCAGGAGCTCGAGACCAGCCTGACCAACACAAAGAAACTCTGTCTCTACTAAAAATACAAAATTAGCCGGGCATAGTGGCGCATGCCTATAAT